TGTAACAGTCATTTACATTACACCTGTGTTTGGAAACTATGGCAACAATATCTTATCTTGGAGATCAGTCAGAGTAGCTGCATGTTGCTTTGCTTCCTTTTAATAATACATATTCTTTCCTATGCACCATGGAAATTATGTAATTCAGCATGCTTAATCCCTTGAAGTACAGCACATTGAAATACAATAATTTAGGACCAAGATAGGCATGATGTTCTGCCTGTTTAAATATGGAGCTGTCCCCAGCATGCTGAAAGAGGGGCTGAGGGAGAGCCAGTGTTGTGTGGTAGTCAGAGTGTTGGACTGGGGATTTGGGAGATGCAGGTTCTAGTCCCCGCTCAGCCATAAAGCTCACTGGGTGACTTTGGATCAGTCACTGACTCTCATAGGGTTGTTGCTGTGAGGATCAAATGGAATGGAGCAGGACTGCGTGAGCCACCTTGGGTCTCTTGCAAGAGATAAAAAGGTGGGATATAAATGCAGTGCATTATTAATAACAATAATTATTAACCACAGCAACAACAATTTTAAGGTTTTAAGACAAGGAGCAGATGGGTGAAAGGAACTGAATGCTCTTCCCTCTCATGCCCTCCCTTCCTGCTGTTTCTTTCCCATCAACTCTTTTCTCTTAGCCAGTATCACTTAGAACTGAAGTCTAGGAGAGAAGCCCTGCCTGTAACCCCGGAGAGCTATTGCTGGCAGAGCAGTCAGTGCAGGGATAGGTGGACCAATGACCGTAACCCTAAGGCAGCTTCTTAGGTTGATATGAAGTGTCACTTGGAGGGATAAAGGAGGCAACTAGAGAAAGGGCCCTTTGGGGAGATAAGCAGCTGTTCTGTACTTCCACATGCCACTTTCAGCTTTAAAATAGGTTCTTCCTTACCCTCCCTCTGTTTGAACTGGATGGGAGTCATTCCGTGTGTAAGCAAGTGGAACAGTTGCTGTCGCCTCTGTTGCCTCTCTTTATTATAGATTCAAGAAGCATTGTTTCAGGTTGCTGAAAAAATTGGTGATACTGCTGATTACTGGAAGCGCCTGGGCAAACACATGCTCATTTTCACCTACATGCGTTCCCCTTTCCTCAGTGCAGGGTATAGCCTGAGTTGCTCCTTATGAAATGGGCTAACTAGCAGTGGGTGCATGCAGACTAAAGCAGGCATCCTTTGGTTATTACAGGATTGGGTTTGCTCAAAATAGTGTGTCCAATCACCCAAATTCATCACCTGGTCAAGCCCCTTTATGGCCTGAAACCACAGGGATTCTTTCTATTGCTTTCTGGGGAAATGGTCTGGTAGTCAAATAATAATGTGGTGGGTTTTCCCCTGCTGAGCATGGAGAAGAGAAATAACTACACCATGCCACATTCCAGTATTAAGGTGTGTGTCCTCAGTTTTGTTAGCTAGTGGTTCAGCAGTATTTCCTACTCTAAGCACAAAAGCTTTATTAAGTGCAGGATCCTATGCACACAATTAAAGTTAGATTTAATTGAGTCCACTGAGGCTTACTCTTAAGATTCATCTGTCCAGGGCTGTGCCTCTAGTTGCATGAGGTTAAGCCCATAGCCACAAAAACACCCCGTCCTCCAGCTGAGGGATTTTATATGTGAAGGCTATGGGGTTGACTCTACACACATTCTCTCCATCTGTTAAGAGCCTTCTGAGAGCACTGAAATGCTGATCCCTACTGCAGGAGCCCCAAAAGATCATTCTTTGTATATAGTAGCTATGTGGAAGCCGCATCTGGATCAATACCACCACTGCGAGGCCTGGACGTTCAAAAGACCCTGCATTCCTTATGCAGCGCATGTTATTTTGCAGCAGTGTTGCTTCCTGCTTGTGATTACCTTGTGAGCCTGTGCATCTAAAGACAGTGTCCTCAAATGCAGCTCAGGACAGTAAAGGTGTTAGTATTCAGTATTTCTCCAAAGCTTTCCCTCAAGTTTCCTTCTTTTCCTTTCTTTGACAAAAATAAAGTGAGGATACTTCAAGCCACTTAGTCCAAAACCCTTCAGTAAAGAGACTGACGTTACTGATGCTGATCTCAGAATTACAGCCTCTGAATCTCTCGATAGTAGCATGAGACAAAGAAGTTCAGCTTCTGCTCAGTTTTCTTCTCTTCTCTCACACCAAGAGATATGCACAGAACTGTCCTTCCCCCCACTTGAAGTAAAGTTGTACTGTTACAGGAGCACCTACATATTTATACAATATCTATGAAGCTGATGTAACGTTGATAAAGACATCCAAGAATATAATTTTTAGCAGATGTTAAGTAGTAATCCTTCTAGCAAGTGTTGGTTAATTGTTATTCTGTTGAGCTTATTTAATTTTGAAATCATATCCAGAAGAGCCCTATGACAGGTAGATGACAGGAGGGAGGCAGAGAGGCAGGTCAGTAGATGAAGTGAGTCTATAGCACAAAACTAAGGTAAATACATTGAAGTTTATCAGCCTCCAAATGGAAATGTGATTGTATCTTAAGACATTTTAAAGGAATTGTAGGGGAAGATTCCTGCATTACTGGGCTTGTATTTGTAACAGAATCAGAAGTGTAGGTATCTTTAGTAGGGAAGCAAACATATGATGTGACACAGTTGGGCAGCTGTTTCCCGTGTGCAGTTTGAGGCAGTTGTGTGCTTGCTAGGCTGTGCATGGTTGCAGTGCAGATTGTAGGTCTCAGTATCATGGAATGAGAGCACCTGCCAGAAGGCCCCCGCTGAAGGGACCAGCACCGATACTTGACTTGTTTTGCCTTTGGGTATTTGTATTTTATATGGTTTCGTATTTAGGGTGCAGTCAGCCACCAATACCTGGAACAAATGCTGCTTGAAAGCATATAATGTAGTTTGACTTTAGATTTGTTGAAATCTCACTAATTTCAATGGAGCATCTAATAACCTCTTGAATGCAGTGAAAACAGTGCATCAAAACAATATTCCAGGTAGGTGGAGAGTATGCTAACTATATCTTTTTTCTCTCTCATAGGAAAAGTGCCATTTATTCATGTAGGAAATCAAGTAGTTTCAGAACTTGGCCCCATTGTCCAGTTCGTAAAAGCCAAGGTAAGATGCACATACTAAACCAGTTTGCTCAGTAAATACTAGTTCAGTTGTACTAATTAAATTTGTGTCTGTGAAATTATCTTGGTGACATAACAAAGTAGAATCAGAGTTGTGGAAGACTAGATAGTATCATTTATGTTGCATAGTAAGCTTTCTTTTAATGGCTCACAAAGACAATTATTTATTAATAAGCTGCAGGATAGGATCCAGTTTAGGAAGACATTTGTACTTGTGCGTGTATGTGTGGAGCAGCAGGAGATGGGTTTCAAGGCGGTTGGATATTCTTATGGCTGTTCATTTAGACTGAAGTCTTGTGGGCAAAAATGTATTTCTCTTTCATTCCATCTCATTAGGCCCATAGGTCTGGTGCTTTTAACCTTCAGGACAAAGGTTCTTTTCTTGATGTGAAATTTCCTGCATACGGTCCTCTGTGTGTGTGTGCATGTGCAGCATAAAAATGTTGCATTCTTACCCTTTCCATTGGCCCAGAGGGACACAGATAAATTATCCACCCATGTGCCTGTATTTTTCTGAGAGCTTCCCCCTTTCCGAGAGAGTATCTACAGAACTTCAGAATCTGTCCTTCCAGCTTTCCCAAGTTCTAAAAACATTGTGGAAACTGATCTAAAAGAACTGTAGAAGTTGTGTGGGGGCTCCTCCTGAGAGGGAAATAAAGACGTGAGTGTGTCTTTCTGCAGAGCATCCTCTGACATTTGGTCTGTTGGTTGGGTTCAGACTTTGCTCCCATTGGCAGAAGTGAGGAAGTGACTTGACTGCTTCTCCTCTCCTCTTGCAGGTTCTCTGGAACTCTGCTCTGGAGGGTTGTGGGACCCTCCAAAGCAGTATGGGAGATAGCAGTGGTGGCTGCAGGGGAGAATCATTGAAATTATTCCCTTTCTCTCCAGTGGGATCCCTCTATTGGATTAAAAGCTTTCCATGAACAGAAGGAGCTTTCCATTTATGAATAGTAAAGACTGGACCCAGCCCTTTTGCAGGTTCATAAACACCAGGCAATTCTACCTGACTTAGAATGTAGTCTTCTTTCTTTCTTGCAAGATATTAATCTGAATATGTACACTTTTTCTGTTGTGTAACCTTCCCAAACATTTTGCGTATTTGTGATTTTAGGGAGCTAACTCTATATTGAGTTGCTTGCAAATCCTTACTGCCGCTAAAAGGTGACTCAATAGTTTTCTGCAAAGGTGGATACACAATTCAACTTCTCACTGGATTATTTAATAACCAGCAGGCAGTTGTTTACCTTTTTCTCCCATCTTTTTTATTTTATTTTATTTATTTTACTTTATTTAGAAGGCTTCTATGCCGCCCCATTCGCTGAAGCCTTGGGGCAGCTCACAATGTTTTTCTCGAACATTTGGCAAATTCTATTATGTGACCCCCCCCCCACCCCAGTGCTATCAGTTTTCTTCAAAATTTATCCCAACATTTGTTTGTCAGTTTCAGTTGAGATTTCATAGGCAGAAAATTCTAAAATAGTATGGATATAGTCGCTTTTGGCAAAGACATGTGTTAGATTGTCTCCAGCATGAGAAAAAGTCTTGACTGATGTCTCTCTTTGTCCAAATCATGAGAATTAACTATGTCCAGAAGGAAAAGCAGATTGTGCATGTTCTGCATGGCAGCAGGGCTTCCACAATAGCCACCAGTTCGCAACTGGATGTTTGCTTTAGCTGGAGTAGATATCTCTTAGATAAATTCCTCTTCCAAGTGCAGTTGTTTCGATTCTGCTCTGAAACTTCCCTGTTTACGCGTACATTCGTGAGCAGTTGATCAGGCGACTAAGCACTGTTCGAAGAAGGGTCTCAGAAGCTCTTAAGAGATAGCAGCATGCAGATTTCTACCATTTTGGCTAGTCCAGGTGTTCCACTTACTTCTTGGCTTCCACAGTCTAGTGCTCATGGAAAAAAGATTCACTGTGTTAAAATCTCACGTTTCCAGATAAGCAGTATTAACACTGAGTCTTGCTGCCTTCTTTGGCCTTGTAGATAGATGTCAGTGCATTGTATTTTATAAGGTATTTGCATCATCCTAATTTACTTATTTTTTTTTTACTAAGATGCCATATTTATAAAGGCTACCCAGTAGAAAAGCAAAGGCAAAACAGTTCTATAGCTGGAAATACTGTGTACAGGAGTGCCTTGTGCTTTTTTGCCTAAATGATTACATTTCTGTTTGTTTTTCTTTGTGAGACTTTGTCTTTGTGGTCTGCAGAGCTGCTCATTATGTGTAAGTTTATAATGTTGTAAGCTTTTGGGGCAAGGCAAAACCCTGGTCTTCAGTGGGCTTTGGAAGAAACCCAACCTGATGATTTTTGCTATCCTTTCTCTTATCCACCCTCCCCCCCCCCCCTTCTCTCCTGCCTTAGGGCCATTCACTTAGTGATGGGTTGGATGAAGTCCAAAAAGCTGAGATGAAAGCCTACATGGAATTAGTCAATAATATGCTTTTGACAGCAGAGGTATGGCAAAACATGAGTAATTTGTCAGTCTTGAGAAATTAATGATATTGGGGAAATGTAATACTATTTTCTTTGTGATACTACACGCTCATACCAACCCTCCCTCCCTCCCTCCCTCCCTCTCTCTCTCTCTCTCTCTTTCTGTTTGTCTTTCTTTCTTTCATATAAGACACAAGGATGGGCTTATGACTAACAATAATTCTTCAAAAGCAGCATACTTTTAATTTAGCGATTACAATCTCAATTCGAAATGGGTTGTTGTTTGGTCAAATGGGGTTCTGTGCTTGCTCCATGATGAAACTGGCAAGCACCTTTCTGTCTTCAGAATATTGTTATGAATGGCTTGTTCAGTAGGGACAGAAGACAAAGCTACAAGGAATTAGCTGTCTGTGTAACCGTATATGTTATGAAGTTCAGTATTCTTTGGTTTCTAGCTGTATCTTCAGTGGTGTGATGATGCTACAGTCCAGGAGGTGAGTGATTCTGCAGCATTTATCTTAATTAAATTTTAATGAGAAAACACTTTTGCTCACAATTGCAAGTCCCCACTCATAAATGAAACATAGAGGTTTATACCACTAATGATACCATTTTTTCGCTTTAATTTTGCTTGCATATACATTTTGGGGGGAGCGCTCTGTCATTACTGGATATACTGATTTCAAAGTGGAGATGTTTTTAATATAATTCTAAAGGCTCGAGGTTGTTTTTTTTTAAGCTTCAAGTTATGAATAATTGCACAGAATAGCATAGAGAAGCAGCACCATGGCAATAAAACCGGAGCGGCCCTAGTTATGTTGTAAAACAAACATGCAGTAATAAAAGCATCTTTTCATCCTTGCATCAAGATTACTCACCCAAGATATGGATCACCTTATCCTTGGCCTCTCAATCGTATTTTGGCCTATCAGAAGCAATGGGAGGTCCAACGTAAAATGAAGGCTATTGGCTGGGGCAGTAAGTCACTTGATCAGGTCAGTCATTAATGCCCACACCTAGATTATTTCCCTTATTGCAATTCATATGTATCTATTGCTTTAAAGTAATTTGAGTTTCTCTGCACTTGGTGCTTTCTGTATGTTTTGGACTACAACTTTCAGCTTTTCCGATCATTGGTCATACAGATTGGAGCTGAGGGGGATTGAAAGCCAAAACATCTGGAGTTCACCAGGCTGGCTTATATCCACAGTCTTAGACCAGTTGCCACATAAAGAGAGATAATCTTATTTGTATGAATTTTAGAGTTATTTTAAATCTGCTTATTAGTCTCCATATAAATAAATTGAAGGAAATTCCTTCAGGTCCAAACCATGCTAAATTGAGAGCCAACCTGGTATAGCACAGAGTGTTGGAGAGCAAGGTGCTAACCCTCACTTGGCCATGAAGCTCGCTGGGTGACTTTGGATCAGTTGCTGACTCTCAGACTAAGCTAGCTTGCAGGGCTGTTGTTGTGAGGATAACATGGGGAGGAAGAAGATGATCTAAGCCTCTGTGACTTCCTCACAAAAAGGGAAAAGGCAGGATATAAATGTAATGGAATGAAAAAGGATTTTTCCTCCTCCTAGGTCAGTCCTGGGGTTTTAGACTGCTGCTCCCATCAGACCTAGCCAGCATGGCCAATGGCCAGGAATGATGGAAGGTGTAATCAAAACCATCCAAAGCAACTAAGAAAGAGGCATGCTTGCTTTGTCTTCTGATGATGTGTGTGCAGTTTATCACAGTTACTATATCCAAAGAGGCATTCCGTCCTGTGTCAGAGAATCAGGAATACATCTTCTGTGATGGTGCCTGCCATCTAAGGATTAGCATTCAATTTATTATTAAAAATTGCTGTTCAAACTGATTTACCTAACACTTGATACCCTGAAAATAGAATTATCTAAATTCTATAACAAGTAAAGTTCAGTTTGTGAGTAGTCTGAAGAATTGCAAGGAGAGATAGGTGTGTCTAACTCAGAATCCTGTAAAGAAGACAGCCTGGTCCCTGGGATTCTCATGTGGGACTATAATCACAAGATAAATGCTTGGCATAGTGCAATTCCAGCTGAATTTAGAGCACTTCCTATTTCCACAGTTTTAATAATTAACTTAAATGCCGCACAAAGAATTTGCATAAAACCTCTGGTTGTGAGCTAGATAGAAACCTACACATGAAATGGTTTAGTCTGCATATGCATATTAGTATGAAAAACTAGTATGAGGTGCTGCTTTAGGGGACCCTATATTCTTTGAGGGAGGAGATTTGCATTTGTTGTTCCTGCTCATATTGGGTTGTTTTTTAGAATGTATACCTTGACAAACAAATGCTTGTCTTTGTACCAGAATATCGAACAAGAAACACATTTGGTAGGAAAATAAATCTTTACATACTGGAAACTGTTTGGGCGGGGGGTGTCACTGACAAGATTTTTTTGTTTGTGAAGTCCAGATTATGCTGGTGTTTCAATTTGTCATAAACCCTTGAGCATGGTTTTATATGTTTCTGTAGTCATTCAGTAAAAATGATACTCTGTTTTCTCTACATGTTTGGTCTTACAGGTGCTAGAAGATGTAGATCAATGCTGTCAAGCCCTTTCTCAAAGGCTTGGAACGCAACTGTATTTCTTCAATAAGAAGTATGTTACCTTTATATTCAAATAAAAGAATCTGCAGTTCAGGGAGGGAAAAACTTCCCCTTTCGCAAATGATGGGGAGATGTCTTCTGCCAGACTTTTCCATCTGCTCCCGCTTCCTTTTACCTCGAGCTGGACTCCCGAGCGAGCCAGGCCTTGGCACTTGTTTGCATTGCAGTGACTGGCTGAAGATCTTCGAAGTGAGAAGCTCAGAAGAAGGCTCCCTTCCCTCTTTTCCCACGCTTTAGGTTATCAGTGAAAAACTGGCAATGCTAAATCTAGGAAACTACAAATACATGATATGACATGCAAGTATAGCATGTCATTGTCTTTTAAGACATATGATCTGAAGAATTCCATCTGTATTAGTTTCCAAATAAGTTTTCAAGAACTGAATTTTTATCCATTTCTTACACACTCTGTTACAAAGGTCCAGGGTGGCTAACAACAATTAAGGGGGCAAAATCCAGTGACATTATTCGTTCAAATTCCCAGCACAATATTGACTTCATAGCTGGGAATCGGAGCTCACATCTCCCATTTCTGTGCCTTGCAACCTTAGTGAGGCAATAGAGGGCACATTTCAGAGGGAGGGGAAAGAAAAAGACTGGAATGGATATGAAAGATATGAAGTATCCTTCTCCCTCTGAGATGCTCCAGCTAGGTAGGCAAAACTTGTCTAGTGGAAATGCAGGGTGGGATGAAGAGCCAAAGATTGCCTCTGCCAATCCACCTACTTTGCGTCGGATGACAGTAAACCTCTGAGTTTTGGGGTTTGCAGGCATTGCAATAGGATTTCATCCTGGGTGGGCGGGTGGATTGGCATTCTAGTATTGCTTCTGAGAATGAGACTTCAACATTCCAATATGCAAAAATAAGGGCAGTGTTAGAAAATCATAAGTTACATTGTGTCAAAGTTACTGGGTTTGCATTTTTAAAAATTCTCCTTCCCGTGCCAAGGAATTATTTTATGACAAAATCCTAAAGAAAGCAGGCAAAGGAATCTCTCATGTTAGTTAATTTTTGGGTACTTAAAGGATCCTAACACCCTCCCAGTTAATTTCCTTTCACTCAGTTTAGCCCAAAGCTACCATTGCTAACCCCCATAAAGAAGGAAAACCCTCTGCCACCCATGCAGTAATGGGCTGCTGCAGCCATTTCCTTGTCTCCAAATTGAACAGGGAGGACTTGGAGAGCAAGAGGTTGCGTGACTGAAATCTCACTTCTGCTCTCCAGTGATCAGCCATCCAGTGTTCTAGCCTAACTCGGTACAGTTCCACTATATCACTAGATAGATCCCCAGGTGCTTTCAGCTCTCAGAAACCCCCATCAATGTGGCCAATGGTCAGATAAGGAGCAGGTGTGTGGGTGAACTCTGTAAAGTCTTTTCATGCTGGAATCTTGGTGCTTTCAATAAAAAGAATTCCAAACACCCTTTCAAGGGCCACAGCACTGCTACCACCACCCAGCAAAACGAGCATTCTTCTTAAAATGCCGGCTCCAGAATGCCGTACTCAGAGCTGTCGCTGCTGCTGCGTGTGAGATGCGATTGCTGATGTGTGTCTCATTTCTGAATAGCAATCTTCCTTTCCTCCTAGGCCAACTGAATTGGATGCTTTGGTATTTGGACATCTGTTCACCATCCTTACTACTCAGCTGATCAGTGATGAGCTCTCTGAGAAGGTCAAAAGCTACAGCAACCTCATTGCTTTTTGCAGCAGAATTGAGCAGCACTATTTTAAGGACCAGGATAAAGGCAGCCCAGGAAGTATCCCAGCCTTAAGGCAAATGTTAATAAGCTGAATGGGTGGTGATGCCAGAAACGATGAAACGGATCCTTCCAGTGCTCCTGTTGTTATAGCAGCGTTAGCAATGGCTTTGATGAGCGATGGGCCTCAGTGCCCTGTTTGAAGTTGCCACACCCAAGAGAATGTGCTTGGGATGAAGACACTTTATTTAAGATGAAATCATTGGAGTTTTTCATTATAATAGTCGCATGCCATGTCAATATCACTCTAAAGTGTCCTTGAAAAAAATGTGTCAAGATTGAACAATACAACTTATGACGACAGCTGTAGTGACGTGTTTCCTTTGCCTTCCCAAAAGCCCTTTGCATTCTGTGGGGCCCTCAAACTCTGCACTTTGTAGAGCCGTTTTTCATCAAATGTCCAGAGGGAATTGTCGTCCCACACATCTAGAAGGAAAAAACTGAGCTCATAGTTAAGCATATAATTAAGCCAGTTGTGAAGAAATTACACATTTGTACATCTAGCTAGTCATTATATCAGAGATCAAGAAGAACTTTTCCTGCAGCTCACTCTCTTTTTGCTCTTCCCAACTTCCTTTCCTTCTAGCACATGGCTTCAAGCACTTGTCAAGTCATATGAAAGTATATGTTCTGCCTTAAATGTTGTGACTTCCTGCACCATGGAGAGAGGAAAGTTTGCCACCTTTTCTTGTAAAGGTTTTTCTTTCCATGCTGGTTTTAGCTGCTAGTTTAGCTTATGCCCTGCCTCAGGGATGGATAGATTTAAAAAGAAGCTTGAGAAAAGGTACAGCCAAGCTAGAACCATCAAATCTTGCCTCTCCCCTGCCTCATTTTTGCCCAGTTTGATCAGCATCTCTCTTCCTGCCCTCCCCCAACACATTCTTGTCACTTGAAAGTTAAAGACAAGATCGAGGCAGTTCTTACATTCCCTGGAAGGTGCCAAGGCACATGGTGGGAAATGATGGGTGGACGCTACTGTATGTACCCCTCTCTGTTTCCTGTTGCCAGGTGATTTTGTCCTCTCTGTAGTACAGTAGTAGGCGGTCCCATTCCCCCCTATATTAGTGCTGTTCAAATCTGTTTCTTGTTTGAATCCTTTGTAATCTCCCGAATACAAATTTACAAGAGAAAAAAGCTGCAAGTCTTGTTCAGCAGCAACCAGTCTGCTTTTTCACTTCTTGAAGCCTGACAGTATGCATTAACTCTGCTTGAAAGTGTCTTTCAGATTATAAATCCCAGCTATCCAAAAATGACTTCGTAAGAGATACCAATCTATTATAAGCAAATAAAGTGTGTGTAAATCTATTTGAGCCCACTCAGACTGCACTTAAGGATATGGAGATTAGTGAATTACACTGCAAACTCAATAAGTAAAGTAAAGTGAGCTGCAAGACTTATCAGCTTATCTCAGGAAAATATTTTTTGTAAATTTAGCGGTACTGTTCTCCCATTGCTTTAATTGAGTTATAAGAACACTCTATTTAAATTAGGTTAAGAATCAGAAATATTTGTTCAGTTGATAGGACTAAGTACTTAATACACTCTTTAAAAGTTTTAATTCGGAGAAAGTAGTATTCCAAGTACTAATATAATTATGTTGTCTTTATGTCTTGCTTAAAATGCTGAAAGTTTCTAAGAGTGAAATACTGATTCTCAAAATTAACCAAACTGTAGTATGATGAGGTTTGAGTTCTTCCATTGAATTGTGATGTCTCCATCTTATAGCAGCAATAAAACTATGGGCACGTAATACCACTAATAGTTAGAATAGTAACCTTTTAATCAATCAGTGTAATTAATCAGTTAATGTTGGGTGAGTTAGGAGGAGAAATGATTATATCCAGTTTAATTACATGTTCTTTGACATTATAGTAAAAGAAATGGCTGGGAGTATCTTAGAACGTAAGATGCAGCATGGTGAGGTAAAGTCTTGTTAATATGTACCTGAGCAGGTCTTGATGGAGCCTTAATGAGTAAGACTTTTAATGTTAGCTGGGCTGCCTGAAAATACTTAGTTTCCCTTCTGTAGGGATTTGGCATGACTCCCAAGTCTAACTTGCATCAGGAGAGCTAGTTTCCTTTTCTCTCGTGTGTGTTTGTGTGTGTGTGTGTGTGGGGGGGGGGGGGGTTTACAAGTAAACTTGGCAATCTTGCTCCAGTTATCAGCCCATTTGTTTCTCAGGTTTCAGGGGGCTTTGTCAGGCTGAAATATCCATAATATCAGTCATGCCAGTTGCTGTTTGTCATCTACTGGAGGAAAAATTACAATCTTGGCACGAGTCGAGCAGCAGGCCAGAACCATACCAAATTAAGTAAATTATCTATACACCAGCAATGATCATTTCTCTGATTAATGGGTTATTGCTAAGAAAGTGCTGTTTGTTATCTCATCTTACAATAAGAGCTGAAGTTGAGCATGAGATTCCTCATGGTGCCTTAGCATACAGTCTTCTGAACACTTGCTGTGGCATATTCTGGCTGGGTTTGGTAGGGCTGCTCTAGAAAAAGTTGAGAGCGGGGTGGGCAACTGTTGAGGGTGCAAAGATACATGTGACTGCAGTGGGGAGGGATGCAAGCACATTTTACATCCATTTGGGGCCCACGTGCACTTTTTCTTGCTCTCTCTCCTAGATTCTTGTTCTCCCTCCCTCCCTTCAGGGTTTCCACTTTTCTTGTCCCACTTCCAGCCTTAACTAAATGTTACGATGAAACAAATACAGCAAATCTTATAGGGTAGCCACAACCTTCTTTCTTTATGTGAGTGACTAGATTCTATTCCTTGATCAGGTTCACACATTTCATATTATTCCTGATTAATGCACTGTGTGCACAGCTCGACAGAGATCTAGCTATTTCTGTTTTCCCTGAGCCATCGCTTCCAACGAGGACAATCTATTAAGGAGCATCCGGAAGCAAATCAGTCGTTTCACCAAATCCTCTAACCCTCTACATAGCCCTTTTAATATTCCCTTTGGGGTATTCAAGAGCTGCTAGATGTTTTTCTCACAACTGATTTCAATATAAGAGAGGCCTGTCATTGGCGATGTGCATGTGTCATGCATTTTTAACTTCTTACTGTAAATCGATAAAATTGGAGCACAGATACAGGTGTGAAGTCACATTAATTGCTGAACGTCCATGCTTTGCACCAGTTTCAGATGCCTTGTAAAAACTTTCCACACTGAACACATAATTTACCCAGCTCCATGGTTAAACAGACAGGAATGCTCCAGAACCTGCCAGCTGATGCAAGATCCATAGCTGTGACAGGATGGCGGGCTTCCTGTCCAAGGATGCAGCTGTATTGGACAGGATGTTGGAAGAAGGTGACTAATTTGTACATTACGGTCAACCATCTTTTAAAAGGAATCTAAAAATTACATGCAAAAACTCGCAGGACTCAGCAGGTTCTTTGCAAATAATGTGCTTTTGAATTGTTTTTTGCGCCATGATGGAAAAGCTGAGTCCAACTATACATGAGACCTGTTGAGTCCATTTGAGCTTACCCTCGGGTCGGTGAGTGTAGATTGCTTTCTAAGATTCCATCTGAGTCCTTTCCTTTCACTTAGCTGGCACAGTTTTTCCCTGAACTAGCATTTGGCAAGCAGTCCCAAGATAACTGCATGCCCATTCTCAATACTCTTGAGTGAGCTATTTGTATATGTGAGATGCTTGAGTGGAAGCACCCTCCCCATGCCTCTCTCTCCATTTGATCTCTCTTTGCCCTTACAGAGCATGAATGCTGTGTTTGAAGTGGGGCTTTCTGGTCCATGGTGCCTTCCTAGACCAACTCCATGTGGGGTTAGAGAAAATGCTGGGGTTCTCATAACTCTAGACCCTTTTTAGAGGATGTTGATCTAGCTCGATCTGCTTAATGTTGAGAGTTGTGGGCTGGAATGCAGGGGACCTCCCAATTCTTACGAAGCAGGATTGTGGTGCAGCTTCTGAGTTCAAGGGAGGCATAGTAGCTCTGTGGAACTGGGCACCTGCTTTGTATGCAGCAGGTCCCAGGTTGGGTCCATGGGTGAGGCTAGGGGACAACCCTGTCTGAACGTCTGGAGAGCTGCCAGTCAGTGTCAACTATGCTGTAGTAGAGGGGCCAAGGGTCTGACCCATTGTAAAGCCATTACCTGTCTTTCTGGCTTGAAAAGGTCACACGCTCCTCCTAAATACATCAAAATCACATTTTGTGGGGGGTTCTTTGATCCAGTGCCCTTAGTGGCACCAATGCCTTTTCCCAGCTGCAATGTTACATGGATGACGATAGCCAGGCTTTAGTGGTTCATGCATCATGGTTAATAGTTAATTATGGGGCATTTGAGCAACTGTATTGGGTAAATGGATGACATCTAAAAGCAATCAATGGGCCTCTGAGTATGTTCACCGTAATTAAGTGTTTACATACTGCTTGTTCCAGAAGGCTCTGGAACCATTCTTGCAGCTGCCATAAGAGAAGTGGGCTTGGGAGTCCAGTCCCTGGGCGAGGTCGGTACCCGAGCCGCCACCTGTTGCAGCATGCTTTTGGCTTGTCCTCCTTTGCTCTGGTACGACAGCACATTTTTTGCAGTACATATGCAACACAAAGATGGCCACTAGGCAAGGTTCACAAGCCGCTTTGCCTATCCATGCACGGTTTTATTGAGTGCGTTCCATTATCTAAACAAGAGCACTTTCAGTTTGAGTTGAAAGCAGCAGCACCAGCACCTTCTCAGTCACACTGTTACCTACTTGTGAGTAACTTTACTAGAGGGGAAAAGAAGAACATTGCTCAAATTTCAGAAGCATGGTTGTGTTTGGTTTCCAATAAAGTAGGGGAGGATTTTATTTTGTTCTGGGGGCTGGTTTACCTGCCCCCTTGGTCCAAACTGGTGGGCTGAGTGATGTTGAGGGGTGGAGCCTCACCCCAAAGGTGTGATGACATCCAGACCTCCCACTTTAAGAACAACAGAAAATTTCTTTTAACCTGGCATGCAAATTTCATGGAGGGAATACAGATCAGCTTTCTGGAGCACAACTACCTGAAACCCCCTTATTCTGCATGCCCAGTGTTTCCCATTGTCACAGGCAGTGCGGCTGGGTTCACATGATATGGCAAACAACCCTGCACTTGTCCAAATGCGCTGGTAAGAACATCACTTGGTTACCCCAGGAGTGCAGTTACCCTGCTCCCTGTTCTGCCTTCCCAGCCTCACCACACATCCCAGCAGCCCCTGAAAGCAAAGTCCACATCCGGATCGGCCCCGGGGAAGGTTCCCCCTTCACCTCCAGAGTGTACCTTCAAGTCAGTGGTGCTTCCCAGCTGC